ATCTTTTTTTTTCATAGTTTCTAAGATACCTGACACAGAAAAATGTGTCTTGTGGTTGCCATATCTCAAGAGGCTACAGGTGTCTGGAACATGTGAACTGTTCGCCTTGGTAAATGCTTCACCAAACCTCAACTATTTATATCTTGACTACGAATGTCTTATAACTCTACTTGATAACAAATTTATTTGTGATCTATTCGAGCAACAAATCATTCGTCTGGATATCTATGACTGGGTTAGTATTGAATCGGATCCACTACAGCGCATCGCTCAAGTATTTAGACGTCTTAATCATCTTGTCCTTGTTCCCAAAGATTCGACTGTGCCCATTGATTCGATTCCATTGGCATTCCTAAAACTTTGGAACAGTAAAGAACTTCCTTCGTTAAGTGTCGACGGTTCACCATCGGATGAAGCAAAGAAAAATCTTCGACAATGGTTGATTGACAATACTCATTTATTGGTAGAGGACTCATTTGGAATTGAATATAAGGATGGTTGGTTCACTTTATGGCTTTAATAGTTTAATTGTATCGTGGCATTTTCATATTTAGTACAATTACTGTGAAACATTACGAATTTGTTCGACTAATATCACATCACTAGAGAAAAGGGTTTTCATGATGATGTGGTGTGGGACTATGTGGTGTGGGACTATGTAGGGACTGTATATTGGTGGTTGCTTTGATTGTGTTTTCCAGTTTGTATTTGTGAGCAGAAGATCCAAACCTTCTCCACTCCTATTCATACTCACGCCTCAATCCGAATTTACACGTAGTCTCGCATCAGACCAATACCATAGCCTACATCTCTTAATCTTTGTTGTTTTTATTCGAAACAGCAATAAGTATATAGCAAAGGCATTTTTTCTGACTGAGCTCGCCTATCAGACTTGCTTGTTCTCTTTTTTGCTTCACGAGTATTTCTCTGCTAACAAAACTATTTACGCTGAATATTGTTAAGGGAAAAATATCTGTATTTTGTGCAGCATGAGTAGTAGATTCTTTGTCATTCATCAGTTCCACTACTTTCATTGACCTGCTAAGCACAAATTATTCATCATTCAGAATGGAGTCCATCTGTAACTTTGTATGGAGCCAAAACATACAAAAACAAGAGTACAGGATAAAGTCATATGAAAGAAGTGACTGATCGAAAGGAAAGTTTTATTTAGAAGATTCATAATAATAATTGTCTTTCTGATGTATTCAGTGAGGAAAAGGAGAGATAGAAAAAAATTTGAATAAAGCAATGAATGGACATAACAAAAGGAAGTTACGTTGACTAAATGCATTACTCAGGCAATGACCGAAACAAGAACGATGAACAACCTCACTTACTAGCATTAAATGAGCGATGTTCTAAAGCAAAATATATGCAAACCGCAAAAAGAACACAAACTATAAACCGAAGAGCAAACATAATAGCAGCCAAGAACGCATCGTCATGTATGCCACAGAAGTGAAAACGCTTCATGTCTTTCTAATTATTATGAAGATAGTCCTTCAAACAATGATTCATGACAACAACTTAAGTGAAGCTTTACTATAATCAGTTCCACCAAAATAACTAACATCTGAACTGACACAATGTCCAATATAACAGACTCAAAGAAATCGATTATCGCACTAAAAATAAGAAAGATGAATGCCGAACGAAAAATCATCACATGAAACTATGAGAGGCTAGATGGAAAACAAGAGTCTATATTGAAACAACGAAAAAGGGTGGCAGAAGAATTGTCAACAATACATGATGAACAAAAAGACACTTGATTATACTCATCAACACTAACCTCATCAATTGTGATCAAGGGTGTGAACATCCTCTGCTGTACAATGCTTAACATCAGGGAGAAAGCGAAACATCAGTGTCACACGTCAGTGGTACACTATTATGATGACTGACTAGTATAGACAATCAGCTTGTTGATGTTTCAATGTGTGGTACCACCTTGAAACGATTTGTGTCACAGTATAACACAATTCGGCTAAGGGTCTGCAGTCTAGTTATGACACTGAAGCTTTGTGCTTGAGCATAGAAACCATGTTATGTAGTAGCTTGCATTAGTTCCCAAACAAAGTGAGATAAAATATGCATTCCAATGAGACTGTCAACTCTATCAACTGTCCATAGTCGATCTCAATATGACGATACACTCTCTGTCTGTGAGAACAGTGCACTCGATGTGACGATGGACACGAATTATGAGTGTCGCATGTCGTTGGAATGCTTTCATGATGAATAACTACTATAGATGAAAGTGAGACGAACATTGCTAGAGTTTGACTACCACGCATCGACTTGAATCTCAGGAGAGCGAAATTTTATGTCTACCTTAAGAAGCAATGATATCAAGCATCTTACTGTGTTTGATTATGTAAGTTTATAAGCAGGCGTTGATGCGACTGTGAGCAGGAGATCCAAACCCTATTCATATCTAAGCGTCCCATCAATGACGACCCACACACTCTGTACCAACATCCTAGTTTAGCTCACCAATCACAAAAGTACGTCTATATCCCATTACCCACATTCCACGTTGACAATTGGCATCTGCATCCACGCCCGACACTAACAATGATACCGGAATCTCATTCCATATCCTAGCCCACATCCTAGACCTACATTCATATACATTGCCAGTCTCGCACTCATCTAAGATGCGCAAATATAAAAATAAATTGGATTGTCATGAATTCATATACTTCTGTCTATCATCCATATATTGTCATGTAGTGGAAGAAAAAACTTCGAGTGGGTGTGGGTGTGAATGTGACTGTATGTGTGGATATAGAGTGTGAGCGTGAGTGTACTTTATTATGGCATCAGAAAACACACCCATTCTAGGCTTTCTTCCCCAGAATACTATTTGTATTCGTATTTGCGCAGTGTTCGCACCCACACACTTGAAGCAATACCTATACCCATAAGCAATCTCCAGGACTCATGCGACATCATCAAATTCACAAACTCACATACTATATGGAGAAAAAAGCTGAATATGCGCATATATTTAGAACCACTTTGTGAAAAATTTAATGAAATGAATTCAGATAGGAGAACAGTTTGTCAAAATTATCCATTCTGTCGCATGGACTATTGAACATTCCTTTTTTTTCATTGTTTGCTGCAAGTAACTCCCTATACTTATCGTTCTTGTTTTTGTGTCGATAAAATTTCACGAATCAGCAATGCAAGCATTCTCTTGTTATTAAATCAAGCAACAAAAAGTAAAATCAGCATACGCTTAAATAAGTCACTAACTCTCTTGAATGTGAACCCAGCTACAGTAGAATAAAAGGCTGAAAATATGTTGAGTATTGCATAAATTTTTGTCGATAAACGTTATGTATCGAACTTTGGTTCTTTTGATGGTGATGCTTGGAACGATTGTTGGTAATACAGGTTAGATATCAGTATCAAACCATGAGGAAGACTCAGTTAAAATAAAGTTTCATTGTGATAATGGGATAGATTTTTAAAATTTTGACAAATCAAAATGCTTCATATAGGAGAAGAGAGAAATGTTTTTCGAAAGGACAATGAAGTTCTAATAAGTTCTTTTTAATAATCATCAGCGATCGATTTGACTGACTGCAAAATGACACATGCTGAAGCTGTTGCACAAATTTAATTGATGGGTGTACAAATGCCATCGACCAGTGAGTGTGGTGCTGATACTGGTACAACATGCGTTTCACTCGAACAAATTAATTGTGACTCTATTGGCTGTCTTTTTTCCATTTATCTTTAAAATATAGTGATATAAAAAAGGAGACGAATAACGAAAACGGATACAAAATTGGCATCGGACTTGATAGTTGCATCGACAATTATATCAGCAGCACTTTCCAACCCGTTGAAAATCCTTCCAATGGGTCATACAATATATGGCTACGAATGGAAATACGTTTACCAAGGAAACTGATCGTTGGGATATTAGGTTCATAAACTATTGCTAACTTCAAATTCTTTTATTTATCTAATCTTTTTCAAAAAATTCATAAAAGGAAAAGTATCAAGAAACAGTGATGCGTTAGGTTCTGTAATATAGTAACAGACTAAGTATAGATGTAGGTGTGGGGTGTGATTGTGACTGGGGCTATGAATGTGAATGGAGGACAAGATGCATGCTAAGATACAGCCATACGTGTGAGATCTTAATCCCGTTTGTACTTTATTTCTATAACTTTATCTATCTCCCATCTGTTCAACAACCTAACGAATATATATATAGGATGATGACAAGGGGAAAATTCTTAATGGAATATGGCATAAACGATGAACAATGACACTAAAATGCATACAACAACATGAGAGAGAGCAGAAGAGAAGGAAGAGAAAAGTCCAGCATATATATGTTGTAGCCAAAATTAAAATTCAACCCAATTTAAAATGTGCCGAGTTATAATTAAAATTTTAATTTGGACTAGACGAAATTGAAATATTATTCTGATGGATAGGAACTAATAAAGAAATACAAACAATTACAGTACCAGCAAAATCTTTTTTTTTTATTTTATAATATTTATTTAGTAAACACAATATAAGGCCTAAATTAATTTAGTCCATATTTGAACACCGACACCTCTTGCAAATAATATTTGGTCGAGTAGAAAGCGTTTGCTTTTTTTTACATGAACGTATTTTTGTCTCACGCTTCGCTTGACAATTACAAGTGCATCCATTTGTAGAACTACGAGAATATAGTTTTGAAGCTTCAATGATGGTGATTGACTTCAAAGTACTAATGTCAATTATATTTTAATTTACTAGATCAAGGATCTTTTAAATTAATAAATTGTCCAGCTTCAAATGTATTTTCTAAAATACCATATTGACATATTAATTTATTCAAAAAAATAACATTCATTTTCCCAATTGTTTCGATGCATAAACACGGCACATACTTTGAATCGGTATTTGTTCTACCTACCGTGTGAATTGCAATATCGACACAATCATTTAAATTAAAACTATTAGCAATAAGATTTAATTTATCTTGATGTAGTTTCATTTTTTTTATTCGTAGTTGTTAAATAATCATTTGTTGCGATTTTACGAACCAAACCATGTTTTGTTGATGTTGTTGCTATAATTGATGACGATCTTAGTGTTGATGGTGTATTAACTAATGAACCAGAAACAGCATCATCAGATGATTGATTAACAAGATCAACTACTTCAGCATCAATACCTTTCTTAAAATTAATTAAATTATCATCTTGATCATCAATTAAGGCATCATTTGATTCAACAAATGAAGACGATAAGTTTTCTTCATCTTCAATCTCATTCTCCTTAGCTAACTTTCAAAAATCAAAATTAGAACAAGGTTTTTGCCCGAACATCACTTGATGTGGAGTGGTTTCGGTTACAGTAGATGTTCTTGTATTAATACCGTAAATAATTGGTGCTACAGCAAAAGCCCAACTTGTCGAATCATTGGTACACATCAATTTGCTGAGAGCATCCCATAAAATCCCGCTTGTCCTTTCGATGTATCCTTAACTTTGTGGATGCCTTGATCTTTCATGGATAAAAACCAAATCTGAAAAAATATTTTTTAATTCTATAATAACATTTCAAATAAACTCACAGCCGTTATCACTACGAAGGAAATGTGTTGGTCCAAAAAAAAATAGTTCACGTAATTTTGTTACAACTTCATTAGCAGATTTATTTCTGAAAGGAAAGGTTCATGCAACTTTACTAAAAGTGATCAATGCAATTTAAAATCCAAGAATAAAAAGTATCAGTTGACACTTTATCAAGTCTTGTGTACGCATGTCAATGACGTCGATTTAGAGTCATGTCATTACACCTAAGGAAATAATCGGCTTTGAAGCGACATGTTGTTTAATTGGTTTTCTTATTTGATATGGTAGACATTGTTTCAAGAATATTTTAACACAATATTAAGAAATTCATGAATATTGAGAACTTAATTCCAAATAGGTCTTATCACGACCACTATGTAAAACAACAGTATGTGCTTCACTTATGACATTATAAAATGTCTTATAAACACATATTGGTTTTTTTAAATTTTATTCAAGCAATAATTTCAATACCAGCTATTTTTTATTAAGATAAATTTGTGCTTCATCCAATAAACAAATGTTGATGAATATGGATCAAATGATGTACCTTTTAATAACAGTAAACATTTCAAGATATCGTCGTGAACTTGCTATTTGATAACACATTTTTCACGAACCTTTTTATCTAATGAACCAATATATTCATCCACTTTCCCATAATATATTTTTACATCAGTATTGGGTGTAGATGGGTGTGGAGTGTGGATGTGGATATGGGTGTAAAGTGTGTGTGAGGGTAGGTGGGTGTGAGTTGTGAGTCTTCTCTACAGCTAGCGCACTCACACTCAGACCCACGCCCACATTTATAGCCATACCCGATGCACAATAAAGGAATCAATAGAGATGTAAAGAAAACAATCAATCGTTTATAGTCAAGTCGAAGACAAGATATCTATTGAGTCATTCGCAAACAAATGTCTATGACTTGAAATTATCATAAAAACGCCGTTTCAATGGAGAAAATTCTTGATGACAAACAACAATTTTGTAAGAATGAACTAGCAATAATCTGACCCTGTTCGGCCTGGTTTAAGTTTTGGTCCGGTTCGGTCTGGCAGGATCGGTTCTAATTCTGCATCAATGGTCATTATGGATGATAGAGGTGTAGCTACTCACTATCAACCAAAAACACAGACAAACTCTCGATGTTGCTGATATTGATTGAAAAACATTTCAATTGATAGATAGTTGCTTCAAAGTTAAGCCCCCCCCCCGCCCCCTCCTCTCAAAAAAAGTCAATTTTCGTGAGAACTGTCAAAATTGAGATAAATACATAGGAAAATAGCCTGTCGTCTGCTCTTTCAAAATCAATAAAAATTTTTCCTAAAACCTCCATTTTTTCCCGAAATATTCCAGAATTTCAGAGAACCAGTTTTTGAAAAACCAGCGGTTTTTTGAAATATCCAGAAATGTTTTTCGCTTTTTCTCGATTTATGATTTTTTGATTTTGGTACAAGGATTTCTCAGTCCGAGTCCGTCCAACATATTTAAATTTTTTTTTGTTTGAAAGAGCGCGTCGAGATGCAGATCATCATAGAGTCCTTTTTTTAATTAAGCCTTGTTTTTTATTGGGTGTACACACATAGACACTCATTTTTGGCGCTTTTTTTGAGTCATTGAACTTGTGATCCCCTTTTTTCGCTAAAAAAGTAAGAATTTAAAAAAAAGGACTCTATAGTGACCTGCATCTTGACGCGCTCTTTCCAACAAAAAGAAATTTAAATATATTTACCCAGCCTGGACTGAGAAATCCTTGTACCAAATGAGCTATTTTTTATCCTTGTTTGGTTTATATCTCTGTTAAATCCCCGCGAATCGAGCTGAAAATTTTACCACAGCCTCCCCACTTCAGCCCCAATATATGCTCAAAATTTCAGCCCATTTGAACGTTTCTGGGCTGAGATCGATTTTGGAGGGGGGAGGGGGCCTTAAGAAAGCTATTCAGTTGATGGTAGGTTTATTTCTAAACAAAGTGCGTCAAAAATATTTTTGTTTCTTTTTAGATTTTCAAGCATGCTCTATCGAATTATCGGTTCAGTTTTTTTTACTTTGAACGGTTTCATTGTTTTTCAAGTTTTGACTGCTCATTCATATAGCGGATATACGATTCATCCATATAACCACAGATTCAAATTCGATATACGAGCAAGCGTTTCTAATACATAGGCAACTGATTTCACCATCGTTTCATAGCCGAATGGGTTGATATTTTATATTGTATCACATGCTTGATGATAACATGGATCAAATTTTACACCAGCAATACCACCGTACCCGTGACCTAACATTCTATCATACCGATCCCGTTGCTCAAGTGTTTTAATACTGTCGGCTCCGGAGAATGTGCCACCACATGGAATACCCGCGAACAGAAACGGAACATAATCACTCAGGATAGGAGAACTATTATCCCATGGTAGACCTTCTTTATCAAACCAATGGCGAAATACTTGTGAAATTCTGTCTGAGGCATTTTTTACTTTTGAAGATATTGTATCTGGAAGTGAGGTAGCTTCATAAATACCAAAATAATAGTTGGGCGAAGCAAACATATCGAAATTTAATACCAGCACGTAGTCTTGCAAACGGTTACCTTCAACGGTTGTAATGTTGGCTTCGTCAACATGATGATATGATCCGAACATGTTATTTTCTTCGGCACCCCACCAACAGAATCGAATGTGATACAAATATTTTTCATAGGATGATACTTGAAATAGATGAGCTAAATTCAGCGCCAAGACAAGAGTTGCCATTGCACCACTACCTGTATATAACAAAAGAGTCTATTCAAAATTCAATATCTCAACGTTAAATAATGTACCATTATCATTGATTTCTGAACTATTTTCGACACTATCACTATGACTTTCGATGACTATTGTATGGTTTCTATTTCCAGTTGGTGTGTCAGCGCATAGGTATTCCGATGACGTTGGTACTATAATTGTATTTTCAAGCGAAATAAATAGGCGAACGCTTGGATTAGTTATTGAATGATTTTGTGTTACTTTCACTAGTTGTGCACCTAATTGATATAAGAGAACCATAGCCGGATAAGTTATATTCTTAGAGACAACAACAAATGGTAGATCTGTAACATTGCTATCATTATTATATACCAGAAGACCACTAATATTGTATTATTGTCTCAAAATACTTTTTTCTGCTATAGAACAGTTGGTTTTATCATATACAATAAGTACAACAATTCCCGTAGCTGAATGCGGTGTGGCATTTTGCCAATCATCATCGCCACAACCAAAGTTCGGTACTACAGTAAGACGAATAGACTTGACAAAATTGGCCGCTGGTGAAAATAATATCTCACGAAAGTCCGTATCGTATGTATAATTTTATCAACACTATCAATTGTGGAAGTTAGGATGGGATTACAATGTACCCGTACAGGTACAATGAACTCTTGCCTAAATATCTGAAAATTGGTCTTTGATCTTAATTGTGCTTTTATATAGTCCAGCGTGGCTTTAAAACCAGTAGTTCCAAGAGAGCGCGTCTTGGTGTTGTTATCAGCAATTATTTTTAATTCATTCGGATGAAACATTAAGTGACTTATCTTGATGGTATCCAATAGATGTATTGCTACTATGAACGTTGATGTTGATGTATTGTCTATGCTAGCAGTAGACGTCAAGGAGATTGCTGTCGTCGATGTAATATGTCATTCACTTGGCTTGAATTTTTCTGGCTCTTTACCAGATCTAATATGGTTGCTACCAGAGCAATTATTATTACCGAAATAAAAACAATAATAACAAGTAATATGGTATGTAAGCGTGTTTTACTCCTGGAATTGTTCATTGTCAACGTCTTTACAAAATCAATATTGCAGGAAGAAAAAAATGAGAACTGACGGAGAATCGAGGTTAGAATACTGTGACTATGATTTCTTACAATAAATATAGGGATTACTCATACACTTATTTATGCTTGTTACCGTCATCTTCGCTTCTCTTATCGTTATTCTCAAATTGCACTTTTTCTTTGCTTCGTACTTCAAAGACAGTGTTTGACAACAACTAATATGTGTGTAAAAATAAGATTAGTTGCAAATCTCTATTGTACATTCTACATACTCATTCTATGATAAATATTTCTTTCGTTTATAAAAATAATTTGAAGATGAGGAGGTCGAAGAGATAAATGTTGACTGTGGGATGAGGGTGTGAGGATATGCGAATGCGAAGAAGAAATCCTCACCGCAGACACATACACCCATCATCGTTACTATAATTATTAAATTGTGCCAAATTGAACTCTCAGATATCGATTTCTATATGTTCTGTTGAGCATGAGCACTAAACATATTTCATGCGTTTTCTGGCTCATCAGGGAGGTAACAACTTGACAGCCTAAATGCTCAAGTTTGAAACAGGCGAATTCAGCAACATAATCTCTTTTTGTAATTGATCAGTTGATATTCGCCACTCGAAGTGCATATTTCGTCTAGTAAAAATAAGTCAGTACCATTAAACTATGGTATGCGAACAGTACCGATCATTAAAATCAGTTTCCATGATAATCAAAGAAACCAAAGATACTCTTCTTCTGTGTCGTAATATTGTGTTGAAGCAGTTTTTAGGCTGATTTTTTACAATTGATTGCCACCCTGTATCGAATATTTCTTCATTTTGATGACAGCATAGAACACTATTATTAGAGGGCTATATCCAAGTGACACTTGCCGTGAGTGGCACAAACACTTTCAAATGCACCAGTCTTATTGACACATACGATTATTTTTACGATGATGATGGTGATGACGACAGCTCATTTAAAGTCACTGTTATTGTCAAGTATAGACGTTACAGGATGATTCTTCGTTCTGTTGGTTGGTTCAGGTACTGTTATATTATTCAAGCGGTCTAGATGTAGCACAATTTACTTCGTCCATGTCGAAGTCGAGTATAGTATGTTCAATAATAGTAGCAAATGAAACAGCTAAAGAACAGACAAAGTAATAAAAGATATCGATGAGTTAACTGTTATATTTGATGTTTTTAGACTTTTAACTTATTGAAGTAAGTCAATAGCTCTCGTTCAAGTTGCATGCTCTAGAGTATTTCTTATTATTTTTCATCAATTTTCAGGATCTTAAAATTCATAGTACATGTTGCGACAACACGATCGAAATGAACGACAAGTAAACTTCATGCAAAAAAACCAAAATCGAAAAGAGGTATATATTAAGATATAGTCGTCATTAAGGAAGTAGGTGTTGGTAAGGAAAATAAAAGAATGAAGCCATCACTTTTAGAGTGTCTATTGATTAACTCCATAGTACATGAAATAACTGAAGTTATAATCATCACATTTGTTTGATAATAGGTATGGAATATATTCTTATTGAGATTTTCCACTTGAACCCACCTTTGTAATTTAAAAGAATCCAATATACATAGTACCTAAAAATTTATTAAACTTTGTTATGGATCGGCCATGTCCTATCATTCAAGAATGGTAAAATTCCGTTCGATTTATTGAAAAAACTAATTTTTAAGAACATTCTAAGCTGGAATTGATGCAATATGAACAAAATGCATCGCATATAGGACGTTGTAAATATTCTCTAGTTACGGTATGGCTAGAATAAAAATGACGAGCATTATTAAATTATTTAGTCTGCTTGAATTATTGTTCAATACTGTATAACTAAGTATGCACTTTATTAATAAATAAAAATTTGAGAAATGAGTACGAACACATATAATTACGATTAACAACCAAAACTAATGCAATTTCTTAGTGTCTTTTTTATGTAGCATGTCTTTTCTTATTGACTAACGATTATATATAATACGAATAAAAAATAAACTAATATAAATGCAGTTTCTTCTGTGGTCGCAAACAGCATATGTTACAAGAGGATTTCGTAAGAAGTATGTAACATAATTGAAGGAGATGAAAACAATATATAAACGCAACTTAGAAGTTTGTAACTTTTTCGAAAAATTTTTTCTTTATTTGTTTTGATACATGTAAATATATGCTTGAAAATGGCCTGTAGTTACAAAAGTTTACTCGCCAGTCTATAGCCAAGTATATTGATTATTCATAAGTATCATTAACTGAGAGATTTCCAACAATATCTAGTGTTCAGATATAAATCCAACATCTCCAGCTTCCTGTCGGAAACATATGCCAAAGAATCCAACAACTTTTTTTTGACAAGATTCAATGAGACATGAGTGTGAGATTCTGTGTCCTATTTATACATTTGACTTTATCCTGTAAGTATAGAACAATCGCGTCTACAGTTTAAAAAAATCATATTTTATGAATCATTTAAGGAGTTAGTGATCGTTTTTGTCTAATCATGCTAGTACATCACAAAGTTCAAGATAAATTAATGGATGATTGAAAAATATTCAAGAATAAAATGACGTCCATCTAGATTTTTTTTTTCTATGATTAACTAACATGGCTAATATAAAATGAAAGTACGATCTATATATATATCATTTCAATAATGTTATTTCATGTGATCCCTTCCACGATTGATTCTTGTCTAATTTTACAGCATCATTAACGTGACCAACTTCAACACAAACATATTTTGAAAAATTATGTTCACCAATATCAACAGCTGCTTTGGCTTTTTCTTGCCAAGGATTCCATATGACAATGTCGGACATGGTACTCGAACCAATTACTTGCATATAATCATTAATAAGTATTGGATTGCCATTTTTACCACCATCTTTATAGACACTATCAGTTTCACTGGTAAATTCAATAACTTTATTGGTTTCTGTTTTCGTTTTGCCTCCATCGACTTTATCCATGTAAGTTACATTATTTAAACCAGATCTAAGCACGAAAAAGAAAAACAAGAACAGTTATATAAGTAAATATTATTCAATCCATAAATAACTTTTAACATAGAATATTAGTTGCTTTTTATAAACTTAAAAGTCGCATTTATATACATACATTTTCGTTGTCTTTATATCATCAACAGTAAAATATGAATGAAATAATGCAGTAAATTCGAATGTTTGATTATCTTGATTGTTAACAGTTAATTCTTGATAAAGTGATTTTTCACTTAAACGAATAGTAAGTATTAAATTAAATTTATGCGGCCATACTTTCAATGTATCCTCATCTTGTGAAAGATGCAAATCGATGCTGACATCACCATTTGTATTTGTCTTTCCTAACTGCCATGTTTTGATACGAGCAAAACCATGTTGTGGTAATGGACCAGGCCCAAATTGAGGCCATACAATAGGTATACCACCACGAATAGCTTTTCCAGGTTCAAATATAGCTTTATCACTATAATGAAAAATCATCATTCAATAAATTACATAAAGAAGAGAATAGCAAACCTAAGAAATAAGATTTGTTTATTATGTACAGTCCATGAAAGAACATGTGCACCATATAATAACACTTCGACAGATGCAGAACCACTTGAATTTGTTAAACGAAGAGCTGGAAAGCCAGTTTTATATTCGAACTCCGTAACCGACATTGCGAACTAAAAGGACAAGAATTGTATTACTGAAGGTTTTTCTTTTGATGGACAAAATAACAAATCGTATTTACTGGATTTTAGCTACAAATGATTGCAAGAAAGGAAGTAAGCTCCATCTTTTTACTCGTATAAGTCAAACGAAATAACGAATCAAGCTAAAGAGAAAGACAAAAAGAGAAAAATGTTTTGAGCGGACAAGCACATTTTGATGACGATAACATTTCATATGGCATCTTATCGGTCACTGTATATAAAACAATATTGAATTTATTTAACATCAGATCATCCGAAAACAATACATTTTGCATAGATTTATTTCTATCAATGGTTTAATTGCATTTATGTCTACTAAATTGATTGAAGAGTTTATGTAGATAGATCTTTTTCTTATTTTTAAGAAGACTGACGACTTCTGACATGAGTTTTGACACATTCGGTGGCGATTCAGAAGACCAGGATAATTGGAAAGAAATTTTTTTGAGCTTGCCGTCCATTGTATCATAAAAGAAACTTTCTTAAAAATAAATATCAATAGTGACTCCAATGATATGACTGTATTTTTCCTAATTAAAATATTTGACAAAAAATTTTTTAAAATAAAATAAAATATAGAAGAACAAAACTCTCGAAGTTTTTTGTATAATGATACAAACAGAGTTGCTATCTTCTCAATTCAAACTAGCGGAAACAATGCGAAAAGTTGTTTTCCGTAAGCTCTTCGTATTTCTATAGGTTTAAATAATTGTCCCCATAATTTTCGGTTGACAATTCTTTTTCAAACAAAAAATGTTTGTGCATGTTCATGAAATAATGAAGTATCTCAATCAATTTGTATTTCTACAGTTATGATATCTACTAACATTCAACTGTAGAAATCATTGAACAAATATCTCATTTCCAAAAGACTGCGTTCGGCATCAACTTTATTTGTTGGAGTAATAGAACACAAAACACATCATATAGGCAATAATAGATTGTAGACGACTGCTGCTACAACTTAATATACTAAGAGAATTTATTGCCTGAAATTATTCAATAAAAAAATAAACCAAAATTTCTTATATGAAAAAAGCGGAGGATGTGGCAACCGTGAATATAAAGTTTTTCTGTGTTATTCAATTTTGAAAGCTGAGAGAGAATAAATATCAAGAGTATTTCATCATTTACTGACATCTGTTGATTACACGTATAGTCATTCATTCTTATTTATTCCAATCGAGTATTTAAGTACCATTTATTTATTATTACTCACTCATTTCAGTGGTCGTCATGTCAACACTTTAAGTCTAAATTGACACTGACAAAATATTCTTACTACTATCTGTATTAAATGACCACTAATCATCAAACAGTAGGTCGTAGTCTTTTGCCAAATAATGAACGTGAACGTGATGCCCTTCTCAATATTCGTCAACTAGAAAAACGGTAAACTTAACACATTTTGTTAGAGGAATGAAAAAAATTATTATTTTTTTATTCTCGATTAGACTACGGCAAGTGATACGAGAAGTTGATACACCTTTTGTTTCCCGTCATAATGAATATAGTGATGTGTATAGTGAACTTGTCGGGGAAAAAAATTCATATGAACAAGCATTTAATGCTGAAAGTAATCTTCAAAAATTAAGAAAAAAAATCATCCTAGAATAAAATAAAATAAAATCTATTTCGTATTTAGAACGTCGAATTCAACAACATTTGCAACGTATTAGTCAAAGTGTTCGTTCATTTTCAAAAGATGTTCGCCATTTGAAACCTGATTTAGCAAGTAAAATATTTCATTCATATAAGTTTGTTTTATATTTATTTTTATAATTAGTGGTTAATAAAATTCGTAATACAATCGAAGAAATCGAACAAACAATTTATGCATCCAAAGAAGCATCTCGATTAAAGTAATGTTATCATTCTCGAAGTTCTCGTTCTTTTCTTAATCAAATCATTATTTCAGATATGAAGAACTTATTGCTGAAGAACGTTTACTATCGAATGAAGTACAAGCATTAAATGATAAAATTGAACTATGGTCTAAGCAACGATCAGGTCAACAACGAAGTGATTCAGTTCCACCATCAGGATCTGCACGTAAATTTGAAACATTCAATGCAAATCTTTTGCCTGAAATTATTGAATATGACGTGAGTAATTTTACCATATTCATCAACATATAGCAATGGACAAAAAATCTTCATCCCAGTCGATCTCAACCACTATATGTTCTGAAGGTCTGAAAATTTATGTATATTATTAACATGGTGGTACCGTTATTCCTTAATTACAAAGAGAGTTATCATGGATGGCGTTTATTTTTTTTGTCTGCCTGATAACGCTGGAAAGAAAGAGTATGTGCTTTAAAAGTCATTCACTGTCCTTTGAAGGTCAATAACTAAGTAAAAGTTCAATGAAATGAGTTGAAGCTTTTTTGAAGTTTTCTCTAAAGTTAGGCATTATTATCTACAAGTTTCAAAAGCGAATCTTGCATTAAGAAGAAATGGAACATAGATGATAATTGTGTTAGTTCCACAGATTCAGAAACATCAATACTCGATCAAATGATCTTATATTTTGGATGAAGAAAGACTGTTGAAAAGACTTCAGTAGGTAGTGATGTTTTAGATTAGCATAATGAGAGCAAAAACTAGGTGCCATCCATCATAACTCTCTTGGTAATTAAGTAATGACAATCCTGCAATGTCAATAACTTGCATTCTTAGAGAAATAAATATACACAAACTTTTAAAGTTCCAGCACATACAATGGCTGAGATAAAAACTTTTGTTCATTATTGTATTTGATTGTATATTCCTAGCGTTTTCTACTTGAACATGGTGGAACAACAGGAAATTGGGATGAATACGATCATGGAACATTTCTGCGAATTCGAAATAAATATAAGGTTACTAATTACATGATTTATTTATTTTAATTGAAAATACTAATAAAAAACATTTTTCTATAGGGTGAAGATAAATTTATTGATGATTGTATTGGATTTTTACCAACGAAAACTCGAGATCAAATTCAAGAACATGAAAAATGGTATCGACAATTTCTAAGTATTAGTAATAAACGTCGTCTAGCATTAAAAAAATGGCGAGAAGAAAAAAATGTAAGTTTTCTTTGCTTATTAAAAAAATGTAAAGATGAGCCGATTCATTATTACACTTCTACAGCAAGCTAAAGAAACAATTTTACATGAAGCCGAACAAGCACATAATACTCTTAAAGAAATTGATGAAGCTATTTATCGAGTACAAGCTAAAGAACAAGAACGAATACGAGCTGAAAAATCAGCATTAATAGCTACTTGGAAACAAGAACGTGAATTGAAAAAACGAGAAATTGAAGAAGAACAAGAACAAATTGAAAAGAAAAAACAACAAGATGAAGCCAAACGTTTTGCTGAAAAAGAAGATCAAAGAAAATTAGTTGAACAAATTCGTCGTGAACGTGAAGAAACTGAAAGAATTCAACAAGAACAAGAAGTAAAACAACGACGTCTTCAACAAGAAATTAGACAACGAACAGCTACAACTGCTATTCGTAAATTTCGTGAAAGAGTAAAAATTTTAATATCAATTAAAAACAACGACTTATTCATTTTATTCATAGGATATGAACAATTTGGAAGATAAACTTGTACGTGATAAATTACAAAAGCAAGAAGAAGAAGCTCGACAACGACGTCTTGAAGCTGCTAAATATCAAGTATCAATTGATTATGATCCTCAACATTTATATGAACCAACACAAGCATGGACATCACGTAGTAAAACTCCTCGAGAAGTGTCTAAAGATACGTCTGCTCCACCAAGTATTTTACATGTGCCTCATCGAGCAACACCCAGTTGGCGTCAATGACAAACTTTTCCCTATCTTTTTTTTTGTTTTCGTCTGCAATAGTCAGATTGTACGTTGGTTTCTATTAATCTGTAAATTTTAAAAAAAAATGAATAAATACTTTTTTTTTATCATCTCGGTTATATAAGATAGTTCTAATGAACAAAAGATTTCCATTGACAGTGTAAAGAATGTTCTATAAGTTCTGAACGTCAATGAAAAATTAGTTTATATGTGAATAAAGAGTGATCCCTATCCAACTATATCTATGTAAATCTGAAGTACTAAGGATGATGCTTTTGATGGCATATTATTCGAAGACAAAAACTTCCCGCAAAAATTGATCTTAACCCAAGTATATTCAAATCGCATGAAACTTTCGAACATATATCATGATGTTTTGGGTAAATATTCAATTAACAAAGGTCAAAAATAGCTCATTTTCCAACTCGGAAATCTATCTGAGCCTTCATCCGATAAAGTTTATGAGCTTCTTTGTTTAAAGCGAGAAAAGTTCAATGTCTCAAAAAATAGCGCTCTCTAGTCATAAAACTGCTCTTTTATATAATAGCCACAAAGCTGAATTCAAAATATGGGCTCTGTCATTCACTGCATCTTAACATGGTCTTTCAAACAAACCAAATAGCCATTGACCACACTGAATTTTTGAAGACAATTCCAATATTCATAACCAAAAAAACCATATTTTCCGAGCAGAAAACAACGAAAGTATTTAGAAAATAATCAACTGTCAAATAAAAAGTCAAATCATTTATTAAAGATCAAAACTTGGACTATCTTCCCATGCATTTATCATAATTTTCATGTTTTTCACGAAAATTGAATTTTTTGGAGGAAGAAAGGTTTAAAATCTGGAAATTTTCTTTGTATCCAACATCTAATTGTTACCATTGTTCTGTTGATATCTTTATTATTAAATGGGATAATGCCACCTAAGATCTCATGGTAAGCACTCGAAGCTCATGGAAATATAGTTGAGTAGGGATTACTCTTTGTTGATATACAAACTAATACTCGTTAACATCCAACACTTATAGAAGACTTTTTATATAAGCAATAGACTTGGTTATTTTAGTAAAATTAGCAAAATTTCGCGGATTAGCACAAAACGTCGCCATGATAGACGTTGATTGCCTCTATATGTCGCCACATGATTTAATTCGATTTCTATTGGTTAAAATCATAACAGGAAAAACAAGGGGACAAGCATGTGCACACACGCACATATCTACTGCAGATTATTGTTTATTTACGTATTGTTTTGTTGTTTGACTCATACATTAGAAAAAAAAAACATCAATTATAGGAAATAAAAAAAATCAACATATGAATAATGTTCTTTTTATCTATCCGTTTAGATCTTTAACATTGCCAATCAATGGCTAGCAATTTTCCGTCGCGAACAGGTACGTTCATATATATATGTATTAGCGGTTAATGATTATCTTATAGGTAGCGAAATGAAGAACGAAAAAAATAAATTTTGATTTTGCACATTGTATTGAGACTGACAACTGCTACATAGACAAAGATTATCAGTTTATATTTTTATATTTTATTTAGTTGTTCCACGAAGTTTTAAACTATTGGAAGAACTTGAGGCGGCTCAAAAAGGCCATCACGAAGGGTAAAATAGAAGAATAGTTCTATGATTTTGAAAAACATTTTTGTTTTTTTTTATTATCATAAGATCGGTATCATGGGGTCTCGAAGCTAATGACGATATGTCACTATCCCGGTGGGTTTGTATGATAATAGGACCATCACGGGTATGTTATGAATAATGGTTTCTCGAAACGAACTAATGCTAGTTCATACTTGTTTTTCAGACGCCTTATGAAGGTCGCATTTATACATTGAAAGTTCATTGTGGTGATCGTTATCCAGAAGAATCACCGACTGTTCGTTTTCAGACACGTATCAATCTAACTGGTGTTTCAGCTAATGGTTCTGTAAGAATTTTCTATTCAAAAACAAAAATGAAAATCTTTTTTTCATTAAATTCTTCAATTCTATTTAGGTTGATCCAAAATATGTTTCATCTCTTCGTAATTGGAATCGAGATATGACTATTCATCAAGTGTTGAACGATATTCGAACGAGCATGTCAGCAAAAGAGAATGCAAAATTGTCTCAACCATCTGAAGGAGCACTTTATCCATCTCAGTGATTTTCAACAAATAAATATCTATATACAAAAAGAAACACGCTTATCATTTTCTTTGTGTTCGATTTTCTTATATGGTTTTCTGAAAAGAAAATAACATCAACTTTGGACGGAAATCTTTATTTGTTCAACCTTATTTTTTGTGATACCTCTTTTTTTCTTTCTGTGTTTTTTTTTCGCTTTCATAACATCTTGAATCCTTTGTGTATGATTCATTTATCTTTTCTGTTTTTTATCCCATAAACTAAACTTCAAGTCATTTGTTCTAGAAAAATGAAACTAACATTAACACCATCAAAAAAATCCAATTCATCAACAACAGCTGATGTTGATTCATCATCAACATCAGATTGTGATGTTCGAATTCATGAAGGTTCATCTTATCAAGCTAATATTCCATCATTAGATCCAACACCATTACCAACTGATCATGAGGCTATACTATTTTGGCGACCAAATGATTCAATTAGTGATAATGATCTTATTGAATATATTGATTTTGCACGTCGTAAACATCGTATGAATGAAGAACAAGCATTAGCTATATTACAAATATGTAAATATAAAATATCCACAAGTAAATTACTTATGCAACAATATACACCTGAAATTGATGAATGGACAGTTGAGGAAAAATGTTTATTTGAACAAGCATATAAATTTTATGGAAAAATGTTTTCACGTATAAGACAAATGTTACCTGATAAAAGTGTTGGTGATCTTGTACGTTATTATTATTCATGGAAAAAAACACGCTTACAGAAAAGTTTAATGGATAAACATGAAAAACAAAGTCAATTAATGCCTTATGATGATGATGAAGATAGTGATGATGATGAACGAAATACAACATCAATACCATTACCGACAAAGTAAATTAATTATACATAGAAAAAAGAGACTGATCGATAATTGATGCTATCGATCCTCTCGAAAAATTTGAGTTCTTGTATTTCTAAGTCTCACAAAAAGATGTGTGACAGTGTGTTTACGCTATGTCTAAGCTTTTTGAAATAGTATGAGACCGACCGAAAGCGATTTTTTCGATGAAAAAAGAAGTTCATGAACATATTTAAAGCTTTTATAGGTCTACTCAGTTTTGAATGCTGATTCCGACTATCTTTATTGGTTTTATTCAGGTCATACTTTTGTCTGATCGAAATCTACGAAATTTTAGTCCAAAAAAGCATAATATTACGTCTCAAGAATAGAATTCTTAGTCTTCTTTTAGAAGCTTATGTTTTTCTCTGCATATGTTTACACATTTTGTAGCGCTTGGAAAATATTATCAAATCATATGGAAGCTGGCCTGACCTATCATCAAACTAGCAGATAAAAACAGTTGATTGTCATCAACAGTCCGACTCAGCATAGATGTAACAGTCATTTACTATTTGAATCGGCCTAGACACAGCATAAACAAATGGTATAGAGCTAAGCTATCAGAAATCATTTGTAGACACCTTGTGTGAGAATTTAACAGAGAATAAACCAAACTTTTCGAAAACATCAATTTGATCAGTTATCGACCACTTTCTTTGGAACGCAAACTTTGTTTTTGGTTTATGTAGAGATTTGGATCATCGTGGTAAAATGTCAACTGATCAAACAGGTATTGATGAACAAGAATGTTGTAATTGTGAAGTAACAAATATAAATGGTAGTATTGGACCAATGCATTCTACTCCCAAAGGTATACTTTGTGATGAATGTTTTATTTATTGGCAAAATTCTGGTTTAATGCGACCTGAATTATATCCAAGTAAATCATCAATGAAAAAAATTAAACGACCACCAAAAAATATGGCACTCGATTTGGATAGTTTAATTGCAATGAATTCATATGATAATGCTTCAACATCAAATACAGATAATAATGAAATAATTGATCCTGTTGAAAAACTTGAAGATGATATACGTCAAGAACTAGCAATTATTCAATCACATAATCAAGCGATTGATTTATTAACAAATCAATGTCGAGATGGAATGGAAACGATGCGTATCCCATTTCTTACATCATCATCATCACCATTTATGATTAATAATTCCAATTCAACAACAGTAACACCAACATCAAATTGGTCAACAGAAGAAATTCTTTTAGCTATACAAGCATTTGGAAAATATGGAAAAGATTTTGATGCTGTTGCACGTATTATTGGTTCAACAAAGACAGTTGCAGATGTTGAAACATTTTTTCTTGAATGTCGTGAACGTTATCAACTTGATATGGTTATTGAAATAAATTCTAAACCAATAACAAATGTACAACGTAAACAGCAATCTTCAACAACAACAACAACAACGACAAATAACGATTTAAATTCCAATCGATCCAATACTAATGATATTGTTCTTTGTTAGTTAATTGTTTAGATTATCTTCTTTTTTGTTGTTAGTGTAAATAACAATTTCTTTTTGTTCTTTTTGTTGACTGTAGTTCTTTGAAAGATACAAAAGAAAATCTTATTTTCATTTCAGATTTCAGATTTCTTTTTTCTTTTATTTGATCAAAAAAAAGAAAAATATTATGGAAGATATTATTGTTTCACTTGAACCAGCATTTCATCGTGTTGAACGATTTATGTTATGGCATAATCGATATGCAAGTTTACTTGCATTTTTTATTGGTCATTGTATTTTTTACGCTATAGCACGAGCTGGTTTACGTCCATTTTGTGCTATTATGCTTGTTGTTTTAATATTTCATATATTGGATTGTTTAAAAAAGAAACGATCACATTTATTAGCTAATGGCGAACAGAATTTATGTGAATTAACTCAACTTGTTTTACGTTCATACCGTCATATGTGTGAAACACATGAAAAATTAAATACACTTAAAACAGAAAATCGTGTCAAATATTCAATACTTATTATTATTATTTGTCTTATACTTGCATATATTGGTGTAAAAATAAGTGGTTTTTATGTATGTTATATAACTATGTTAATACTGTTTACATTACCAGCCGTTGTTTATCATAAATTAATGCCAAAATTACTTCAACGCCTAGCACCTGTACTTGAACAACTTGATCAATCAATGTAAGTTAAGAGAATGTTTATTTTTATATATTCTTTTGACGCTAGCCAAAGATCATCATAGACGGTGACAAATGTTGGTCAGAGACTATGACAGACGTTGTTGATATACAAACATAGACCGTATATCAAGAACAGCTCGTTAAAATTTATTACCTATTTGTTAATTGTATTTCTGAAGAAGTAAGAGGATGGTGAAGATTGTGTTTCAAGATAGAGATAATAAAACATCTCCTAGTGATTATTAGCAGCAGCTACATCGTATTACACATTTTTCATCTTGCATGTTTTGAGTTAATAGATTATTTTTTTTCTATGAAATAGGGAATATAAACGACGTTCATTACTTGATCGAAAAGATTTATTAGTTAAAATTGATAAATCAGGATCAATTGATGATGATGATGATGATGAAGATGTTCGACGATTAAAACAACAACGTGATTTAATACGACAAGAGCAATTAGAAATGAAACGTCAACCGTTAAATTTAACTGATGATGAAGATGAAGATGAAGAAGTAAATGAACTAAAATTAGTTGATACAAATGATCAAAGTCAAACAATATTAAATTTTCGACAACGTTATCAAAATGAAATAGATACAGATGATGTAGCTCTTGTACCAAAACAAACAAATGCAGGTGATTCAAGTTATGATATGCTTAGTGATTCATCATCATCAGTTGCGGATGATGAAGCAGCTCGTATAACTGAATTATATGCTAATGTTGGTGATCAATTTGATGGTAAACATCGTATAAAAATTAAAAATGATGAATTAAAAATTAAAGGACGTTCAAATAAACAACGACCAAAATTAATGGATGCACAATTTTTTCAATCAAATATTGATGATAATGATACAAAAAAGAAGAAATCATCTGTAACAACATTAATTAATACAGCATCGAATGTTCCACATAATGAACCAGATTTAACAAGTTTTGATTTTCTCAATGATTATGATGAAAAAGCATAATTGAATATATGTGTGTCAGTGTGTTTTTCAAATTCAAAGCAATATTACTCCTTTTTTTTCTTCTTCGTTTATCTATGGTGATTGCATTTTGTTTACTGTATAAAGAATGTTTACAATACGACGTTTGTGTTTTTTTTTCTAGTACTTTATGTTTCTTCGATTATGTATATAAGACGATGAAAATTTTAGAAATCATTGCTAAAAACAAAAATTTTGTATCTTATATCATGTTTTTATGTGCCTATCTTCTTTTTCCTTTTATACCTTGTCATCCGTTTAGTCCGTATGTGTGCTTGTTGTTCGTTTCAGTGAACAGTTTGTATTTTAAAAAATAAATAAAAACAAAACCAAAGAAACTTCAATATCGATCAACTCATCAATATATCTGATTTAATTTATTCGACATCAAAGCACGTAGATCGAATTTCATGTCGTTAAATCTTGATACGAGAAAAATGTACTCCATTGGACAGAACACGAACGATAACGTTTGAAATGGTATAACAAGATTTTTTTCTAGATTACATTATCTTACAATTCACTTTCGCTTACGATTATTGTAATTATTTTGAGAAAGGATTAAAAAAAGCTTTTTCAAATGATGGAAAACATTTCTTTGGGAATCAGGTAGTTAGTTTGAAAGACCTGGAGAGATACCTTAGTTTGTGAATTTATTTGAGTTTATTACCCTATGTTCTTGAATTTGAAATTGAATTGCTATGGACGAATGCTAAAAATGTTAGGAAATAAACTTTAGTTGTCGTATTCATTTGAATGCGTACAAATAAGCAGTATTGAAAATTTATTGGAAAGACATAAGTTACAGAAAAAAACAAGCTGTATATTTATTTTATTGAATAAGTAGTGCTTAATCAAATTGACGGTTTTATTATTGATTCCAGATATTGCTCTTGCCCACTATTTTTGTTGGTTATCATATTGATAGTTTCTTTTTGCATTGCATCAAATGGAATATCAGGCTTGCGATATTCTTTAATAATTGCTTCTTCCCAAGCTGAGCAAATCAAACCATTATCATGATGTTCGTGATCAACCATCTTGCTTTGCTGAATATTCACACTATGAATGCTTCGTCCGATAATATTACTACGAACAATGCTCGGAACCAATAGACGAATACAAAGTTGCTGCATTATATTCGATGTATATAACCTACATTCATCTGAAAGCTTATTTATATCCGAAGAAAAAAATTGATATTTACTTTTGGCGTCATGACAAAACATATTCACCTATCATATTGCATGTGTTTATCTTTTTACCACGTTATTAAGGACGGATTTAGTATTTACAGAAAAAGTGCATTGAGCTGACTCACTGTGTCTCAATGAGTTATAATACTTCTAAAAAAAGTACAGTAGCTTGGTTTCGCTTCTCGATATTCGTTGTAATAGCAATATGGAGAATCATTTAGGCGTACGATGTCATGCATTTCTTTTATCATGTATCTTATTTACTGTGACGAAGCAAACAGTATAGAAGTTACGTTAAACTATGGAAAGAAATGACTCATTACATGGTTTGATAGCAAATGTTGCACGTGTCACTCATTCGTTTAGTTGCACATATCCATGAAATGAATGAGAAGATAAGTGGGATGAAACAAATGCTCTTACTCAATAAAGACGAATAGCTAGCGCATGAAATCTATTGGAACTTGTGAACAGTAAGAGAAATGACGTTCAGAATAAGGGGAATGAATCCAATACAGTTGTACATATTTGCAGAAAAAAAAACAAATGGATTGGACATTACAATAAAGATTGTTTCTTACTCACACTGACAAAATGTTTGAAAAACTTTATTTCGTTCTGCTAATTATTACAAATTTCTTTTTCTTTTTCATTTACAATTGTACTGTCAATTAGAGGCACATTTTCAAACAGATCTCGGTGTCTGTTTACTTCGGATTTTAGATCAATTGATGCTTTTGAGAACATTATATAGACAATCAAAGGAAGAAACGTGAACAAAAAATGGATGTTTCAAGTAACAGTAAAAGCCGTTTTTTTTCTTATTATGATCGTGAATTTAGCACTTGGCAGTGCTTACATAATAATAGAAGAAGACAGTGAAATATTTGAGCATCAAGCAACAGTATAGATGCAAAACGTTTCATCACTATCACAACACCCAGTATTAAGTTGGCTTGTATGGGGATTAAGAGAATAAATATAGAAGCAAAAAGAACATCGAATAATTCAAGAAATTTAAGTAGAAGCGAGTAAGAGAAAGCGAAGGATAATACCTTATGCGCATTTAAAGGACAAGATAAACGCATGAAAAAGACAGGAGGATTCTGAATGTGCTCTTCTTTGAATAAAACTGATCTACTTTCAATAAATGACATGCGTTTTAAGTGAAGCAATTTGTATTTTTCTATGAATTGTTTTACACGATTATAATAAAAAAAATTGATCAGTGTTATTCTTCGATCTTTTATGAAAATCAGCTCATAGAAAAATATCATTATTGAAAGACCAAGATCTGTTTTGTATATATATTTTAACCTTCTTTAAAAGGACACAAGACAGCATTGCACTAATCGAAGATCAACACGGAATTTCTGCCGTAATAATCATTGTTACGGTTTTGGGAAACAAGGCAATCATACCTTTCCAAAGAGATGAACTTTTCCTACACATCGATCAATTGTTGATTTCTCAAAAAACTACGACAGTTTCAACAAATTGAAAAATTTTCATAATTAACAAGATGCTGAAGTCGTCTTACTTACATTTTCACTGATTTCAGCTCAGAATCCAAAAAAAAGAAGGGATATTTCCAGTTAGATATAAATTGATTAAAGCTAAATTTGTTAATTATTTGAATGATTAAGGGACAGTCATCTATTAGCTCCAACACAATGCTTTTTCAACGAGCCGTATATTATAAGTGAGGAATTCATTTCTTTGTCAGTTAGACTTGAGACATTTTGGTTTCGGTTTCTAACTATTCCTTTGATTAAAGATCATATGAACATTTCAACGAAGCAGCAATAGTATTATATGACTTCTTTCTTGTTATCTCCTTTGCTGTCTCGATATGTTTGCATAGAAAACTTACGGATGCCTAAAGGTTGAAAGCAAGCCAGCATGGAAATGAAAACTGGAATTGGAGAAATGTTTTTTTTGAAAGATTTACTTGAAACCGATCCGTTTCACTGCGATGAACTAGTATGATTAGAAACACGATAATCTATGTGTGAAAATTCTTTGACTTTTGAGAAAAGTTCTCCAAGTGATCAACCGCTTTTTCGTAAAAACATACATATCTGTATATCGTTCACTACACTGATTCCGAATATCAGGGTCTTGACGGCACTTAGACCATTCTAGATTTTGTGATATTACTCTGAACTTCCTCTGATAATGGTGTTTCTCATCAAGTTCAATTTTTATAATCAATCTTCCATGTAGCACTAGATAAAATATCCGCAGAATTACTTTTTTTTTATAGACACTCCAACCTTAAGTTTCAAATAATAAGCTATCAAGCAACAAAGTAGTTTGCATAATGGCTATAAACAATCAGTTGACATTCCTTTTCGCTTCATCAACATATATTCACAAATTCATCATAACTTTACTATATTCAGCGAAGTAGTTTGTAAGATGGAAGAAATAGAAAACATGTATATGCTAGCTTCCTACAAATATAAAACGTTGCTATTGAAGATATGCTTTAAAACAAGTTGCAAATTCACCGAGATTATGTAATGGAATGTATAAGATAAAATTATTTCTTTACCCTTTCTTATGTGAAAAATATTAACCGCAAAAAGGTACTTTTGCATATTTAGTCTTGTTCTGTCTTACGACCCATCTTAGTATTTGATTCTTAAGGTTGAAGTGCCTATGAAAAGCATTCCTGTGGATATTGTGCCAAGTACTACATGGTAGACTGATAAAAAAAATTAAAATTTGATAAGAAATACTATTATAAGAAGGTGGTTCAAAGTAATGATACAAAATCTAGAAAGGTACAAGGGCCTATAAGACTCCGATATTCGGAATCAGTGCAGTGAACTGCATACAGTCATGTATACTTCTACGAAAAAGTGATTCATTATTCTGAGAACTTATCTCGTTAGTCAAATCCAAATCTTTATTGTCAAGTTACAGGAAGAAGCGTTACAAAAACCAGAAACACGATTGAAATAAATTGTGCATGCACACAATGTTGCTGTAAACAAACACCAATATCTCTAAGTTTGTGTAAAATCATTTAAAAACTTTTAAAGCATTGATATTGATGCTTTTGTTGAACAAATTCCTCCTTTGATATTATGAAAAACCAAGTAGATATTTGATGGATAATGATTCTTGATTATGCTGAGTGTCCGTCTACAAAAACTATTGGTCTTCGCTATCATTTTGTCCTTCATATCTAAAATTACATTATTCATAAGAATAGATAAGAAACTTGTCATCATCTGCTATCTTTGTTAGATTTTTTTTCTGTATTTAAATATTCTTTTACACATGCTACAGTAGTTGTTGTTTGCCGTATTATTCTCATAACGAAAGGTAATTTGTCTGTCATCGAAGAAGAATTAAGAATTCTATTGTACACGAATTCTCTTTTGAAATACCTATCATTGCATCGATTTTAAACAGAAAAGCTTAATTTCATATTGTCTTTTCATGTAATACTTTAGAAGAAAACTATCACATGAAGCTTATTTATTAAAGTGAGTTGATCGATTATAACTTGTTTTCGACTACATCATGTACTGAGTACGAAAAACAGAGGATCATAAGTAGAATTAAAATGTGTACAAATGCATGAGTACCACTGAACTAGGGCTCTTTTTATGTCACGTGTTTTAATTTTATAGTGAGTGGACGAAATTTCAACTTTTTCTTTTGAATCTTTCACTCGTATTCAACAAGTGCAGTGATGTTGTCATATGGTGTTTATGTAGCAATTTTATTCAGTTCAGTTTTCATGATCACTTTAGTTGGATCTATTATTCTATTTAAACTGTCACTTCAGCGACTTGTTATACTACTTGAATCAGTATTTCATTTTAAACAAGTGCGTAATATTGGTAAGGACTATATTGTCATTGATGTGTGTGGTGATCAGTTCGAAATATCCAGGACAATATCCAGTCGTCTTCCTTTTGTATTTGCACTTGGTATGTGTCTATTAGTTACTATTCTTGTATTTATCGAAGGGTGTATCTTTTCAACACGACATGTGTATTCGACAAAAGCATGTTCAGATCGAATGCCAAATTGTTATTTATTTAAATCTCGATTTACATCATTCAGACCATTGTATGAATTTGTTTGTGAACCAGATAAACCAGTCATTCCATCTAATATGTCTGCAAGTTATGCTGTATGTTACGGTTTTGTTCTTCCTGATCAATCAACGATTGATATTCTCAATCAACTTGGTGTTTGTACAGGTATTCTATCGTTGGTTGAATCTCTTTATCCACTTGCTTACAAATTCGGACGTCAAAAATATGGGCGGATTTGTGTCATACTACTTCTTAGTGCAATGGTGATAACAGAAATTATTATTCTAGCAATGCAATTGAATATATCATTTATGACAATCATTTTACTAACATTAACTGAAGTTTTGCTAATCAGCATTTTTATTTTGCATTACAGAAATATCAAATATCCTACTAATTTGAATCGAGTAGGATCCTACATAGAAATGAAAGATATCAACTAAACTGGATTTAAAAACGGTGTCTGACTATTGAATTTTCATGACTTGAATAAAAACCATTGGCATTCACTATATTATACCTTAATTACTAATGACAGACGACTTTGTTTATATTTGAATTCTTTCCTTTTGTCTTCATGTGCATTATATAATGCAACAACCACTTATGTAAATATATTTATTCAAATAACTCTCAATAACCTTTTATCAGGTGTGAAATAGATCGCTCTTTGAAGCAAGCTATTTGTTTACTGGTTCATCCCATTTTTAAAACAAACTATTCATTTGAAAGATAATCAGTACGAAGATCTTTTTGCTTCGTTGTCGATCTTGTTAACTTACCATCATATTTTTTGTCATAGGATTGTAGTTAAATACATTGGACATAGCAAGAGAGTAACTAGAAACGAATCCTTTTTTAACCAGATCGTTTGGGTCCCATGAATTTCGGCCCGGACTTTCGGCCCGGTCCGAAATTCCGGTGATTTTTTGGACTGGGCCGAAGTTCCTGGTGGACTTTCGGCCCATGACCTCATTGACCCTAGTATAAAAAACCTAATTTTTCAAAATTAGTTGCTAGACAACGTAGTGCTGAGGAAGACGTCATAGTAATCAGCGATATGTCGTAGTGCTGAGCAGTATGGCGTAATGCTGAGCAGTATGGCGTAATGCTCAGCAAGACGTCATAGTGCTGAGCGGTATGGCGTGGTGCTGAGCAAGAGTCATAGGGCTGAGCGGTATGGCATAGTGCTGAGTAGTATGACTTAGTGCTGAGCAGAGGGTATGAGGTGTGGATGTCTCTTCCTTCAACACCCACACTACCCCACACCTCACCCACAGTCACACCCACACCTACACTGTAAAAAGAAAGGTATTTTACCGAACCCTCCAAAAAGGTTTCGTAGGTGTCTAAAAGCTTCCAAATGCGTCGAAATGCTTAAAAAAATGGTTGTTAAAATCTACGAAACCTTAAAAGGATCGGCCCGCGCGCACACCGTCCGAACCATGTCCTACGAAACCTATTTAAGTTCCGTAAAGCAAAAAAAGGTTTCGTAAGAAAATACGAAACCTTCATAGTTTCCTAGTAAACATTGTGGCTTCGTAGAAAACCATAGTGCGAAACCATAGGGTTACTAGGAAACTATGAAGGTTTCGTATGTTCTTACGAAACCTTTTTTTCGCTTTACGGAACTTAAATAGGTTTCGTAGGACATGGTTCGGACGGTGCGTGCGGGCCGGTCCTTTTAAGGTTTCGTAGATTTTAACAACCATTTTTTTAAGCATTTCGGCGCATTTGGAAGCTTTTAGACACCTACGAAACCTTTTTGGAGGGTTCGGTAAAAGCCCTTTTTTTTACCGTGTGCGCCATACCACTCAGCACTATGACGTTCTGCTCAGCATTACGTCACATCGCTGACCACTATGACGTTCTGCCCAGCATTACGTCATATCGCTGAGCACTATGACGTCCTGCTCAGCACTACGATGTCCAGCAACTAATTTTAAAAAATTAGGTTTTTTATTTTAGGGTCAATGAGGTCATGGGCCGAAATTCCTTGTGGACTTTCGGTCTGGCCCGAAAAATCACCGAAATTTCGGACCGGGCCGAAAATTCCGTGGGCCGAAATTCTGGTCGCCCGATCGTTTTTGCCATATATAAAAGGTTAGTCATGTTCTCATACATTCTTCTTATCACAGGTTCATTTGCCAACAGAGAGCATAGCTCCCTTATTAGAAATCTCATCAAGCAATATTCATATAATATATGTTAGCTGCATTAAATACAATTTATCTAAAATATTGTGATCCGTTTCGTTCGATCTTTCCTGGAATTTCTATCATTCACGATCAAACAAAAATGAACACAAGCAAAATAACTAGCATCTTATATGCTTCGAACCTTGAAACTTAGTCAAAATGAGAATATATTCAATTTATAAATCTTCAACAAACAAGTTAAAGATGTTCTCTCAATCATTTCTTATTTTACCTGTTGTCAAGTTTGCCTTAATGATTGTATTTTGTTTCGGTTGAATGAGATATTCGCAAAATCCACATTTCTTCATTGTCTACTGAAGACGATCGAATTGTTCAAAAAAATCCATTTTTTTCGAAAAAAATCGAAGTTCAGTTTTTATCATAGGAACATGGAACGAAGTTTCTTCTCTCAAATTATATATGACTTTTTGAAAAATATCTCATTCTAGCAGGCTTTCGGAAGAAATCTCGACCCTACTACCGTATTTATTGAGAACCTCTTGTGGTTTTTTTTTTGAATTTTGTGAAGTCTGCTTTTGTTGTTAGCTTATATCATTTGTTACGTACTTTTAAATATTCCATTTAAATATATTATTAATATGCGATTTTAAGACTTTTTTTGTGGACTTGGATGAAACAGTCCATGTGTCAGCTCGTTTACCGTTTGTCTCAGAATATGATTTTTCAATCAGAAATATTAAAAAAACTTTCGCCAGTCTCAAGAGAGCATTAATGTTTTTTCTGTCTTAAATATTCCAACGAGAGCGTCACTTTTGTCTGACTAGATTTTTTATAATTGATTTTTGTGTTGAAGAAAGTGAGATTTTAGGTCTTGAAGTGATATTGTTTTGCTTTTGTTACACCTTGTATGCACTGTAATCATCATAAAAAATGAACAGAAACAGATTGCAAAGTTCTTTTCGGACAAAAACTGTGCACGGGTGTTGGCTTTAAATTGAAACTATTCCGAGCTCTGTATCTCTTGCAGCGATGAAGTTACAAAGATTCTTCTCAGGAGTATAAATGAACTATCAATAAGGCGTAAGTTCGCTCCAGTTTGACATAACAGGTTGAAATTTTTATCAGAAGCGTTTCTCACTAGAGTCACTGCTGAAAATTTCAGCCAAAATGGACCATTCCAAATGAAAAATCTATTGTAACGAATTAAACAATAAAAATTTTGATAGAGATTAATGAGATCAACAAAGTACGCGTCAAAAATTCTTTTGGCCGAAATTCCGGTCTCCCAACACAAATGCAATTTTTCTTTCTTTATATCGATTATCGCTTCAGTTTTGTTCCAAAGTTTCCTATAAAGAAAAAGATTAATAGATTTGATCTTGCTCAAGTATCTTAATATTACAACACGACAGAAAAAGAGTCGTCGAGATACGATGAAAGTATCTACATCTGGACTTATACGTATTTCTGATGAATCATGAATTTATGAGACATCATCAAAAGTGTCTTTAGTGTTTCGAAATAAATATTGAATTTTCAAAATAAACTCTATCTTCTAATAAATGCTTCTCTTATTATTCAAATTAATGAACTTTCAAACTTTAAAAGTAACGATTCGAAAAGTTATGTTTCATTTTCAAATCCTTTCATCTTATAAATTCATCTATGTCATGACAATATTATGTAGAAAAAATAATTTTGATATGAAATATCTTCTTAAGTGTTTTCTTTTGATTTCGCATTATGTCTCGTCGTCTATTTGTGGCTTCGTCAAATACAATTTACCATCTATATCTTGTTTCTTTTCAATCTTATAATGATATACTGATAAACAATTTCTTGTCACGATGAAAGACATTGTCTCCTTTTCTTTTATGCTATAAAAAAAAGTGGAAGTTTTTTTTCTTCTCCTTCTTTTTGCAAGAAAAAACAAGAAAAAAAGTGAAACTATTAAATAACGTTTAACTATTAGAAATACTCTCATTCTCTTTCTTTTTCGCCTCTACGGTAAAGCTTGACAAGAGCGTTTTTTTAAAACATCATCACGCTTACAGTAATAAATTCTGTTTTTTTTTATCACTAAAATACAATGTCACAGCTAACGACAACGGAATCCACTGTCGAATATGAATCAACAACTTTCACATTAAAAGCGGACAATCTTGGTCCAAATAAAGCTACTTTATTACATGCTAGAACAACCAAGAACGATAGTCAATTTTATAAAGCTGTTCTTTATATACATGGATATTCTGATTATTTTTTTCAGTCAGTAATAAATATTTCGTTCTATTGAAATTTTATTTTAACTTTTTCCAGGGATCATATGTGTATACAGTTTTTGGCACATGGTTATGATTTCTTTGCATTAGATTTGCGTAAATGTGGTCGATCGATTATTTCACCACAACAAGATCAATATAGACATTATTGTAATGATTTGAATGAATATGATGAAGAAATTACACTTTCAATCGAACATATAATCAAAGAAGCAAAGACTAAAATTAAAAAACTAATTCTTCTTGGACATTCAACGGGTAACTATTGACTATGAAAGTAAAACTATATAAATATTTTTTCAAATAAATAGGTGGTCTTATCGTCAGTTTATATGCATCATCGGGTTCAAAACATCAAGATATTGATGCGCTTATTCTTAATAGTCCTTATCTAGCTCCATTAGATACATCAGTATCAGAATCAGTATTACAAAGCATGGTGATGAATTTTGGCTTCTCCACAGATATAGATGATAAGTAATATTTAATATAGGAAAAAAGACAGTTAATCAGATAAACGTAAAAAATATTATTTATTATTGTAGTTGGTATGGTCGATCGATACATATATCCAATAAAGGCGAATGGAATTTTGATTTAAAGAAAAAACCAATTGATAAAATTCGAATACATGGTTCGGCTTTCTCTGCTATACGCACAGTTCAACAAGATCTTATGAAAAAAGGTTCTTGTATAAAATGTCCTATTCTACTCATGTGTTCAAACCGCTCAATAAAGCCAGATAAAACTTGGCGTGATGAATATGAAGAAGGTACAATAATCTGCTTGATTGTTTTTCTCCTCAAAATAATTGTATCATTTTTTTTAATTTAGTCGACCTTTTACTTAATGTAACAACCATGCGACGTGCTGCATCTACTCTTGGTCAACAAGTAACAATCTATGAAATTGAAAATGCAATGCACGATATATTTCTATCGAAATCATCAGTTCGTGAAAAAGCATTTCATATAATGTTTCGATGGCTTAAACATCTTGAAGATGATTGGATGATATCCACACAAAGTTAAAAAAACACATTTTGTTTATTTTGTTTTTTCTTTCTTAATACAATATATAACAAATAACAACATAATACATCAGTCGAGTACACCAAATAAACGTACACTTCCTGAGTCATCATCTTGAACATAAGCAAGAACGGATGCTTTTGGATGCCAAGCGACTGCTAATGTTTGCGCATCACATTTTAATGCATAAACACGTTCACCTAAAAGAAAACAACATTCATAGCTTTCATTAAAAAAAAATCTGTATTTACCAGTATCAACTTTAGCAATTTCTATGTAAGGATCTTCTGAGGCTAATGCCAGTAATTGTGATTGACAACCAAAACTAAGACCACGTACAGCCCATTCAATCCTAATATGAACAAAAAAAAATATGATCAATTTGTTGTATAGATAAATAAAAACTAACCTTGTGAGTACAGTCAGACAAACAAGTTGAGCAACATCCCATATTGATGCTGACGCATCAGCAGCACCAACTGCAAAATATTTTCCTGTTGTATCAAATTCTAGACAAATACAATTGCCTGTATGTGCTGTTAAACAATGTAATTCTTCTAAAGGTTTATCTTTTTCTTTTTGAATACCAGGTGCACTGAATACAAAAACAAAATATTTCAATTAAGTTTTCATACGATCATGCTATAATGTACTCGAAAAAAACTACTGAACCATGTCCAGTAGTAACAGCAAATAAATTACCCGATCGATCCCAAGATATTTCATTAACTTCATAACGAAATTGTTCTTCACGTATAATTCTAGATACGAAAAAGAAAAAGATGTTTTGCATTTATTTCAAAATATTAATAACAAAAACTTACTTTGAAGTTTTAACATCAATAAATGTTATGAGATCATCTTTATTACCAACAGCTAACGTAGTACCATCAGGTGACCAAGCTAAATTAATATTTTCTCCTGAAGAAAAAAGAAACCAATGTATGAGATAATAGAGAATTCAAAAAGAAAATCTTTATTTGTTACCTTTTGTTTCTATTGTTGTGTTAGAACGATCTGTTCTTGTATCAAATATTTTAACTAATCGATCTCCACTTGCTGTTGCGACATAATGTGATATAGATGGATGCCATGCAAGTTGATTTATTTCTTCTCCATGTTCACGATAAGTTCGATCTTTTATCTGTTAAATAAATAAATATATATATATATCTGTATTTGTTGAAAGGGCAAAATTTTAATTCTAGTTTTGACGAGACCAAAATTACGATTTGATTATTCCCCATTTCAAAATTTAATTGACGCGAACATTCTTTTGAATAGCTTTTGATCGACTAATGTGATCAAGCCTGGATTTTCAACATTGTAAAGAGCAAATTCGAAGACATCTATCTATATAACATTCATGAGGGTCAAAGACATTTCCCATAATTGCATGTACACCAATATGTTTACCGTTCTCTATTTTCATAATAAATTAACTTCAAATTATACCATGTTGTAGTCCCCCAATTGCCCTGTGTACACAGTAAAACTTTCATATCTCTATGATCTTTTTTTGACGAGATCATTTCCCAATGTAGTAAACATATCGATGTACGTACCAACACTCATGAAAAGCGTCTTTCATCCTAAAAAATGTTATACAGATCGACACTTCCGAGCTCGATAAAATTAGCCGATCAAAATGTATTCGAAAAATGATTTGCATCCATTTAACTGTGACATGAACAGTAGCGATAAATTCATTTAATCAAACAATTCTAGTAATATCTTATTATTCAATTTTGATCTAAAAAGCTACCACATCAAGTTCTTTGTTGCACTAGATTGTATACGAAATTTCACCATCTTGAAAAGTTTTCAAAATCTACCATTTTCCTATCGATGTCGTGTAAAAAAAGATATTACATTTCAATTAAAGTTTATAACTTTGAATGCTACTTGTCAAAAATTACTGATTTAGTTCAAACATTCAAATTTGTTTTTTTCTTGCCGGCGATTCTCCTACAATCTGTTTATCTTGATGTGTACCAAAAAAATCAGAAACAAAAATCAATGAACTTTGCTTTACAATTGGTGCTCGCTAAAAATGCAGATATATTATTTGAATCCCTTACCTACCATTGAACCTTTTCCATCATAAGCAAATATGACAACACTTTTATCTAGAGATCCACTTGCTAAACGACTTCCATCAACATTCCAATCTATTGTATGAACTTTTCCACTATCTGTTCGATAACTTTTATTTTTTGTATTTCCATTAAATAAAGATTGAAATGTTTCCAATGTTGTTGTCATCTACAGATGAAAACAAACAAACAAAGTCTTGCTTTTTTTTGTTTTGATTTGAAACAATCATCAAGCGCTTAATTTTTTTTAAGCGAAGCTTACATAGAAAAAAAGAAAAGTCAAATTGATAATGAACACAGACAAAAAAAAGGGTAGTTTGAACAAAATAACACGCATTACACATACAGAGAATAATTGTACACACCTTGTTTTCTTTTTTAAATGTCAATAGTATGAAAAACTATGTCACTAGTGTGCGAATAAGAACAGCAAACATGAAAAGCTTTTGTTTTTTTTTTTTTTTTTTTGTAAAAGAAGTTCTCATATAAACTTTTAATTCTGGTCACCACTATCATTATTTGAATGATCAGATTCATTTCCACGTTTATCATCCATATCTTCATCGACTGAACTACGACGAGTAGATTTTTTCTTTTCACTACTATTACTTTCATTATCACTTGCATCACTATCATCATCATTAGATTTACGACGTGATGATCTCTAAAATAAAAAAAAACAAGAGTTGAAGAAAAAAATCAAAAGCATGTTTTTTTTTTAATATTTCTTTCATTCTTACTCGTCGATCACTTTCATCACCACTTTTATTATCATTTTCACCATCATTTTCACGACCACTGCTATTCTGACGTTCGCGTCTTGCTGGTGATGATGAACCTTCTTTTGAATGATTTGATGCTCGATCATCACCATTATCATTATCTTTTGATTCAGAACGTGATGAACGACGTTTAGAACGACTACTCTTTTTTTCACTTGATTTTGATTTTGATCGACGACGTTTACTACTTGAACCACCACGAGATCGTTTTTTATCTCGTTCACGACTTGAATCATCTGAATCACTTCGATCACGTGAACGGCTAAAACAAATCAACTTCGAAAAAACTATTGTCTTAATTAAAAAATTTACTGGTTCTTTCGTCTAGATGAACGTTCACGACTACTTTCACGACTAGAATCACTTCTACTACGTCGTCGACGAGATGATCTAAACGAATGTTTCAATATTAAAAAAAGTTTTGAAACAAAAAAAAAAATTATTACATACTTCTTTTTTGTTGAACGTTCTCGGCTACTACTACGAGAGCGTGAACGACTAAAAACAAGACCTATCATAAGATTATATTCAAAAAGCATTAGAATTTACTGATCACGTGAACGACGATGTGGACGTCTAAATGATATAATAACTAATAAATAGAATATACGAAAATATTTTGTAAAACTTACCTTCGATCATCATCTCGACCATTACCGTAACTATCATAATGATCATCACTAAAATAAACGATAGTTATGCAGTAGTTTATTTCAAAAAATAAAATTTTACTTACTCTACACCTCGATAACCGCCATATGATGGTCCACCTCGATAATTTGCTGAACGAGCTTTTGCATGTTCGACTCGAACACGTTGGCCACATACCACACTACATATCAACAAAATATATTAAATCAAAAAAAAATCATTTTCACATTTTCAACACATACCGGCCATCCATATCTAAAATAAAAAAGCAAAAAAAACAAAAAGAATTTCGTTTTCAATAAAAACATCAAAACTTACTGCGTACAGCTGTATCTGCATCTTCACCATATTTGTAAAGTACAAATGCAAATCCTGGTGGATTGCTAAAATAATATTAAAATAAATTTAATTGCTCAACAAACAAACAAAGAATCAATCAAATAAGCACACGATAAGAAAACACAAAACTCATATAACTATTATTCATTGTTAATCTTTCTCACTTCTTTTTTTTTCTATATTGTATTCTCACATGAATAACTTACCTTAAGATTTCTATTTATTAACTTTTTTTCTTTTTATTATATATCAAAAGTGAATATAAACATTTGCTGATGAAGGATGTTGTTTTGATGTCTGTAGGTGCAGGAAAGGAAGATTTAGGAGAGAAGGAGCGCATGAGATGAGAAGAGAAGAGATGATATGTCGTAGGAAGACGACGGGTACATAAATTTGGCGCGAGCGGTTGTTGCGACGCGCAGAAGAACACAAAAATACGATATTCTTATGTATAGATGATAGACGATTTGACAAATGTGTGTAATCATGCTGCTTTTTTTGTGATACCAGACATAGACCATTAGCAGCAACTGAAAGATGGATGATGAAATTTCATTATTTCATTGACTCAGGAGAATTTTTATTTTTAAATGTTCTTTTTAATATTTCATTTACATACCTCATTTTTTTTTTCTTTTCAAGTCGAAATTTTTTTTTTCAAAATCAATCAACATGAACTAAAATTCAGATAGATTCTTTTTTTTACTTACCGAGCTACCCAACAATCAACTAATGGTCCATAACGCTCGCATTCATGTTGAAGTTCAGAAATATTTGTACGTGCACCTAAATTACCAATAAAAACACGAAATCCACCTAAATCGAACAAGAAAAAAATGTTTACAAATCAAATTTAAATTTACACTTTTTTTAATCAAACCTTGTCGTTGATCATAGATTGGTTGAGTCATTATGTCTTTGACTATAATCTGAAAACAATTATATAGAAATGAATTGCGTATATACAAATATCAACCATCATTCTATTTCATTCACAAAACCTCTCCGTACGATTAATGATTTTTTTCAATCATTTAATCGTACAAAAAAAATCCAACAGCCACATTTACTTTTTTCAATAATCTAATCTTCTCAGAAAAAAAAACACAAAGCTTCACAATATAGATGACGC